GCTTAAAAAGCTCATATTCTCTATGATCTTGGAATAAAGCACACATTTATGATACTGTTTGTCATTGTGGAGTAAAGCAGTGACCAAACAGCCTAATGTTCAGCCTCCACGCTTTTCACAAGAATCACAACACATGAAATTAAATGTAAATCAGCACAAAATTGAATTTTATCAGCTCCCTAATAGAAGCAAACACATTTACACTCTTTATTGTCGAACACTGGAGTTTGAATTATGCGTTTTTGTATAAACTGCACCTTGATGATGTATGATAAAATCAATGGCCATTACTATATGTCATTGTGTGAAAAATGAATCCCCTTGGACAATTATAAAGTGTAACTTTGAAAATATAGAGGTTAAAGGCTGTAATATCAACACACTATTAATGGCTACAGTCCATTTGAGTCTGTTGAGGCAGGAGAAGGAAAGTGAGAGTGTGTATCAGGTTTTATTAATATGGACCTCAGTCAGGAAAGATGCCCTATTTACTGAGAATGAAAACAAGGCTGTGAGGGATGTAAGCCGATTCTTTGATCTGTTTTCCTCTGGAATTGATTTTGGAAAGCAGTTTTTTTAATATTTTATAGCCAGGTTTACAACAGTCCACGGTATTGAACAGACTGTCCCTCAAAGCCTCGTTTTCATTCCTGTCAAAAAAAAAAAAAAAAAGGCGTCTGCCGTGATTAAGGTCCATTGAGGTTAGAAACCTTGCACTGTTACTGAACAAAATGGACAGGACTCGAAATTCAAACCTGCCACTTTGTGAGTGTATAATATATGCACTTGTATGTGAGAGTATGCCCGTGAGCTTGAATGTCACAGCTGTGTGGAATCCCGCTTTCTATCATCATGTAAATATACTCCTACTAGTTATCTTTAGCTTTGTGTGTGTGTGTGTGTGTGTGTGTGTCTGTCTATAAGAACAGATGTCTGAGTCATACCCTCTCTACGTTCAACTCAGATTTGTGACGCTTAGTAATGCTACACAACAAGGCACTCTATTTTTACCGATCAGGAGTGTAGGAGATTTGATCTACTTTGGTCTGATATGAATATATCCTGAACAATGATATAACTTACTGCTTAAACACTATGCATTGTTGGAGAAATTAACTTGCTTCCCAAAACTGTAGTAGCTTGATCACACCTCCATCATTTCAACCATGGAGTACTACCTTTTGCTAAGTAATTGAATCAAGGTCGCAGTTAATGTGAGATTATTATTGTTAATTTAGATGTACAACAGAAAGCTGTTTTTGCACATCAACTTAACTTTACTGTTCTTTGCTTACATCAAACTTGGAGAGGAGAGAACACAAGTCTACCTGAATGCTGTTCCCGCAATTCATTCTCATGGTGTTTTATTCTCTCTCTTTTTGTGAGCAGAAGGATAGTTCCGCTTAATTTTCTCATCGAGGCTGTAGACTTTGATTGACACGCTTTGACACGAGGGGGAGGCGGGGCCCTACACATAATAGGGATGATCGGCTTTGCTGCAACCTAACATTTAGCCTTTTCTTTTTCTAATTCTAGTTTTACCTGTTATTTTGGTATTTATTAAAACTTGTTTCTGCCATGGAATAAAATAATTTGAACGATAACTATGACTTTGTATCTCACAATTCTTACACCCTAAAAAAATGCTGGGTTGTTTTAACCCAATTTTGGGTAAAATATGGACAAACCCAACCATTGGGTTAAATTTTTAAATTCCATTTTTTAACCCAATGGCTTTTCCGAGATATAACCTCACAATTGCGAGTAAAAAAGTCCAAATTAAAAATTTATATCCCACAATTCTGACATTATAACTCGCAATTGCGAGTTTATATCCAGCAATTCTAAACTTGAAAATTCTAGAAATTCTCATGAAAAAAAGACTGGAAACAATCTTCCATAGGTATTATTTGTATCAAACAAAGATAACTGAAAACCTTAGATATAGAAAATCGGGTTACTCGTTTATTTGACTTTTCAGTAGCATTAAGGGTCATTCATTCATTCATTCATTCACATCAATGATGAGGATAACTTGCCTATATCAATACTTATATGAGTTACAATTTTTTTCTTGCCTATGATTGATAAAAACATTAATAGCCAATCAGAGTCCACTTTGCATTAAAGAGTTTGAGCATTTAAAATAGCAGATGACATAACTGCAGCACAGAGCACACGCTTATAATAAACAAAATACTAGTGTGTTGTGTGGACACTACACTCTAAAAAATGCTGGGTTGTTTTAACCCAACTTTGGGTCAAATATGGACTAACCCAGCCGTTGGGTTAAATTTTTACATTACATTTTTAACCCAACATTTCAGGTTTGTCCATATTTGACCCAAAATTGGGTTAAAAGAACCCAGCATTTTTTAGAGTGTAGTTGTCTTTATAGTTATCTTTTTTTTATGTTAACCGGCCTTTACACTCACACACACATGCATAGACTCATTCATTTCACTTGCTGGGCCAGAAATGGCTGTAATATAAAGTTTTTGAAATGCTGACAAATGGATAGAGAAACACATGTGCTTCTGTTATTTGTGTCTGTTAAGGAGGGAGAAGGAAGATAAGACCGCATGTATCAGCTTTCATTAGCGTGGACCGTAGTCTGGCAAGGTGCCATATTTGCAAAGTATGAAAACAGGGACAAATATATATAGAGAGACAGTTATTTCAGCATTGATATGTAAAATTTTCATTTATGTACACACAAATCATTCACTCTCCTTCAATCTGCTATTTATCCTAATATTCTCTCTCCGTTGCAGTCTGCAAGTTAAGTTATGAGTGCTGTCACAGTCACTCTATATAGCAAACATTTCAGTCGTACAGATATACTGTAGGACATTACTTTCCCTGTAATTCTGTGAGAGTTCATATTCAAGGACTGAGAGAGAAAAAGAGGGAGAAATAGACAGAGGGTGGGTGAAAGTTATAGTGGAGAGAGAGAGAGGTGGTTGGCTATAGAAACACACTGTGGGGGCCAGGAAAAGATATAGTGAGAGAGAGAGACGGCCAGACGGGCGAGTGAAAGGATAGAGACTTCCTGGCAGTTTATCATAAGGAATGTCCAGCTCTGCTGCAGTGGCGATTAACGACAGACAGTGAGGCGTCATAGTAACACACGACCCGCTGGAGGGATGAGTGAGATGTTGGGAATCTGATGACACCCCTGGCATGGGGACTTGTGGGTAGGACACATTGATGAAGAGTCAAAGTGACACGTAATATTAGGCCTCTCTCGTATGCTGCTTACACATTCAGACTCAAACATACAAATGCACTTTCCACAAATAGGGTACAAAATATTTATTTATTTATTTATTGGTCAAATAAATAGTCAGATTAACCCTCAGAAAATAGAGTAACTAAATAGAGTAACTTTTTTTCTGTTTATTTTTATGAGGTGTTATTTTTTTAAATGTGAATATAAAATAATGCCATTCAAAATAAATGTTGTGTACTTTTTGTGTTTTTACAACAATAATTATTGAATAGAGATTATTATTTTTGCAACAATAATCATTAAATTTAACAAAAAATAAAACTATGCAGATCTATGCAAATTTAGCCTAAATGAAATTACCTCTCTGTAGATGTTTGGGGACCAAATGTTGATTTGTATGTAATTGATAAAATCATATTTTCCATAAATGAAAGAAAAATATTTAATATTTATTTTTCTTACAATAACGGATTGAACGAGTTAGATTCAAGAATACAGTCATCTCACTGTACTTGTAAATTATTTACTTGTCTTGCTAGCATAGTGTAGGATAGAAAGGGTTCAGATTATGCTTCTTGGGTGTCACAACTTAATGGAATGTTACTTTTTTTGTAATGAAGAAAAAATCATGTGGTTGTGCACGGTGTTGGGTACTCTAAAAAAGTAATTAATTACTAGTTACTAATTACCTCTTCAACAGTGTAATTAGATTACTATACTAATTACTCTCTCTAAAAAGTATTTAATTACTTTTAATTACTAATTACTTTCAAAATCCCATATCAATCTCAACCAGCTGAATAATACAAGGATAGACATGAATCTGTTTTAATTCTTTCAAATAAATACTATCAATTGCATGAATTATCCTTAAACTGACCAAGGAGAAGGTTACATTATAAAAACATACTTTTTAGCATCAGACAATACATCTTGATGTTAAACCCACTATTGTTTTTATGTCTGATCTCATGACATTTCACACTTTTTTCATACATATTTTACAATAATTCATACGAATTTGTACGAGTGCGATCGTACGATTTAGACACCTCATAAAATGCATACGAATCGTTGTGAGATCGGATTGATCTATACACAGTATATACCTCAGTTACATCAGAAGTAACTGTAATTAAATTACAGATAAATTAAGAGTAATCCCTTACTTTACATCAAGGGCAAAGTAATTAAATTACAGTAACTAATTACTTAGTAATTAGTTACACCGCCACACTGGTTGTGCACAGTTTGAGACTGGGTGGGATTGGTAATTGTATAGATTCAATAGATTAAATATCAGTTCAACAGATCTTAAAATCCTCTATTTAAGGAAGGGATGCAGAGATCTTGCGTGTTTTAAACTGGTACTTTTCATGTTGTTTTAATTTTATTTTACGAAAATAGTTCATCTAACATATTTAGACATTCTCACAACAAAAACTTGGGATTAGTGCCTCTAATGCTTGGGAGATGCCATGGGACACCACTGTCAAAGTGCCAAACAAATTCGAACAGCTGTGCACAACCAAGGTTAAAACAGACATCTGCGCATTATAACAGACACACATGTAGCCTACTAGATGAACTGCAAACTGTGGGTGTACAACTGATTGGATCAGAGAGATGGAAGATTTCATCAGCCAAAACAAGACTGTTAGCTTAGCGCTGGACACCTGGAATACAGGCACTGCAATTCACAATGTGAATACATTTTCTGTGGATTACATTATTATCTTAATAATATTTAATCATGTTTGTTTTATAGGTCATTTATTCTTTAAACACTAAAAATGAGGAGCAAGAGGCAACTCTGCAATCGTTACGCCGTGTTGCCACGGAGACACAGGGCAGCCTCCAGCCAACCACAGGTCAGGATGAGGAAGAGGAGGAGTCAACATATATCCTGAGGACACGCCTTCTAGAGCTGCAGGCCACCGTAGAGGAAGTAAAAACATAAGTGGTCAAACATACACATATATCTTCTGTATATGGATTCGTTATAAGTATATTTAATACAACTTGGATTGAATCACTTCATTATCTTAGGATGTGTGAATGTGTGTCCATTTCAGGTGGAGGAGCGTGGACAGAGGACTGAAATAGAGTTTGCGGAGCGCATAGCTGTGCTAACCCAAGAGACGTCTGATCTGCGCAGGGACTACCAGAATCTGCAGACAGATAGAGACAACCAACACAAATTACTACAACAAACTCTAGAAGAAAACCAGTGCTTAGAGAACGAGTGCCAAGAGCTACGCAGAGCCAGAGATGAAGAGAGACAGAGAGAGGAGGAGAAGATGCATAGAGTGGAGGAGGAGAGGAAGAGAGAGATCGAGGAGAGGAATAGAGAAACAGAAGAGAGGAATAGAGAGTCACGGGAGAGAAAAAGAGTAGAGGAGGAGTGTGAAGAAAGGTTGAAAACAGTGAAAAAGGAGCTGCAGGTTCTGAGGGAGGAGAAGGAGAGAGCCGAGAAGGAATGGAAGAGAGATTTGGAGGAGTGGAAGAAGAGAGTGAAGGACGTGGAGGAAGAGAGGAGGGAGGAGCAGGAGGCAGCCAAGAAAACACTACAACAGAGCCTTAATGAACACATCAACCAGTGGCACCAGAGAGAGCAAGAAAACCGCAAGTCCCAGAATACAACACTTCAGCAGAGGCTGAGAAAAGCCGAGACAGACTTGGAGGTTCGAGAACAGAGGTTGAATGAGAGCAACAGACACTGCAGCAAACTTCAGGAGAGAGTAGAGGTACATATGAATACCCAAACACAGTCTAAAATTCAATTGTTGACACATCTGCCCATGCCAGTTGAATTGAGACAATCACACCCTTAAATATTTCTTATCTTGAATGTTTTTCCTTTCTACTTTCTTTGTGTTCATTTATTGTGTTTTATTTATTGCATTTTTTTTTAGGAAATTGTTATTTACTTAACATTGGAAGTGTTTTACTCCCATAATAGAATAAAGAATAACAGTTATTTTCTTCTTTTCTTATTTTTTTTATATTTATAGTAACTATTTTTTTCAACGTTTTTATTATATTTTTTTATTATTAATGTATTTATTATTATTATCATTATTATTCATTGATTATTTTAATGCCGTATTCTAAGCGTATTTTAATGTTTTTTTTTTTATTTTATTTTAAAACCAATTTATTTTTTGGTTAGTTTTTTAAAATATGACCATTAATTTCATTGCAATACAGTTTTTTGGGGGGTGTTCATTTTTAATATGTTTAGTTTTTATTTAGTTTTCCTGCATAAAACATATGCCAAATAAATATGTGGATGATGAAGCTGCGTGCTATGGAGATCCCTGATGGGACCAGCCGAAATTGAGAGTAATTTTACTTATGGTATTTTATGTTTGTTAGATTTATCAGGGCTGTCGAGCACTATTGCTGTCATGAGATTTTCATGTTTTCTTTTTACATTTCAAAAACAAGCCTTATCAAAAACTGGAAATTGTGTTTTCGAGGCCTGGTAATTCATGGATATATATATGGTGGATATACATTTTCCTATTTATGCATAGTGAGAAGAAAAAAATCATTGTGTACAAACAAATCAGTATTGCTTTACAAGCCAGTTCACATAAATTTAGTTGAGTGGCCATGTGTAACTGACCTTTCAGCGGGGGGTTCGTCTCATCGTAAGGGGGCAGTAATTACCGCTGTGACTGACACTTCCGAATCTTAATTGAGACCGAGATTAGAGGGATCAGACAAACACCCACAATTACCGTCACTCAGACACACACAGCTGTGCAGAGACAGATGGCATACCCGACTTAAACAGTCTGTGACAATACCCCACAGATCTGCTGCCAGTCTTTCTACAGCAAAGTCTGCACAGAACCTGCAGAAAATAAAAATAACATAGGCTTTTTTTATTTATGTGGGACACAAAAGTAAGTCATTACACTTTGTATTTAGAACAGGATAAACCCACGTGATTAAATACTGTAAGTAAGACTTGCTAGGCATGCAACATTGACACCACCATCTCTGACGCAGCTTTTTACATACACTGCGGCTAATGCGCATTGGACGTGGCTAAAAATGCCAGACAGCATGAGATGAGTAACACCCTCTCTTCTTTGTTTTGGCTTGACATCCTGTTGAGAAAATTAATCAGAGGCACCTCAGATCTGCAAACTCAGAGCCGCTGCTGTGATGTAATCATAGAGTCGTAGGCTCGAAGGGCAAATTCCAAACGGCATTTTTGCGCCCTTAAAGAGCCCTTTGGGAAGGGGGTGCCATTTGTAGGGTTGTCCCAAACGAAAGTGAACAACTCTCTCCATGAAGGGCCCTTCCACAAGGCCGTTAGCGAAGGGTACATGGTCCCAAGAGTTTGAGTTCAATTACAAACCCAGTGATTTAAATTGTTTTGTTTTGTTCGTGGTATTTCAAAAAAAGTTGAGAGCAGTAAAATACACTCACACGCAGATATATAACAAATATTTTAAAAACTTTTTTATAAAATATATATTTATTTGGAAGTTATGTTAACAGCAATAATAAGATATTTCTGTCGTACGAAACAGCTACTCAGCTGATAAACACCGTGTTGCGTTGTCTTGAGAACATCCTAGGTGAAGATAATGAGAAAATGACATTGTCTTTCATTGCTCCCTTCACCAAGTGCATTCCAAATGGCTACAAAGTGGCACGCAAGAGCAATGCTCACTCCAAAGTGCCTACTTCAAGGGCTCTGCCCTTCGAAGGGAGTAGGGCACAGGGATGCTCGACTGTTCTGCAGCTCTAAAATAAGATAGTTATCAGTCATGACGTATCCTTCCCTGATTCGTCAGTCACTGTTTACACCGGCACGCGCATGCCCAGTGTTGGTGAATGGTCACGTGATCCGCGTTTTCAGTCGTTTTAATGTGGACGGAGATCGTTTCTAATACGCAGATAAAACGCTGGTGTGGACGGAGATCGTATTCGTTTTAATTCTCCGTTTTTAAACGAAAACGCAGTAGTGTGGACGGGGCCTAAGTTATAAGAAGTGCACAAGTTGAGGGAGTTGAGGGAGCATTCCTGTGGGCGGACGTTAGTCAAAAAAATGTTCTACTGACGTAATTAAAGAAGGAAGTAGAGGGATGTAGTCCAAACGGGCCGTTCGATGTAGGCTACTTCTGTTAAATAAAATATCTCGCTTGGCATTGAACTTTGAGCTTTATAAGTTTACAGATATTATTTATACTCTAACAACAACATTACACACTACCTAAAGTTTGAAACATGGGTTATACAGTACAGTTACTTGAGCCGTGTCACTCGACCTATGACAGTGACACAAAATAAAACGTTGCGCTTTTCTAAGCGTGTAAAGTGGATAACTATAATGTATGGCAGAATTGCAAGTGCTTGGGAGCACTTTGAGTCGGCGCATTTGTATATCTATGGTCTCGGCTCAGTAATATCATCACTCCGGAGAGTGAGAGGGGGGAGAGGACTTTTCACAAGTGATGATATTACTGCACCGAGTCGAAGTGCTCCCAAGCACTTGCTATGGTATTTCCGCCATACATTACAGTTATCCATTTTACACGCTTAGAAAAGCGCAACGTTTTATTTTGTGTCACCGTACATATTGAATAAACTGGGCTAGTTAAGTGCTATCAAAGTGTCTCGCGCACCAGAGCGATTGAGAGTGCACGGTATATATATCAACTCGTCTTAGTTAAGGGAATAACATAGTTTAATATGAAAAAACGGTGGAGTATCCCTTTAAGAATAAAGATAAGAACACTCTAAAGAAATTAGGTCCACCAAATTTTCTTAACTTTATTCTTAGGTTATAAACAAGAAAATATCAGTTAATAATAATTTTATCATTAAGTATGTTTATTAAATCTGGCTCTTACATATAGCTTCCTTCAGTGCAAGTTATATATTTTTTTCCTCAACAAGCCTCATGATTTGAAGTATCATTCATGTCCACATCACAAACAGTACAAGTAATACATTGAAAGTTAATACTTCGGGTGAGGGATTTCCACTAACCCATTCTCTAAACCTAATTATAAGCAGTTTTTCTTTTCTCTTCCAGGACATGGAGGAGCAGTTGGAGGATGGGCGACGCCGGGTGGCTGAGGCTGAGGTTGTGGCAAAGAAAGCAGAGGAGGAGTTAGCTGTTGCCAAAGAACGCTTATTACTGCAAGAGAATGAGCTACAGAGCAAGTCAGGTACACATGTTGTGTATCTATTTTCTTATTATCAAATTATTTGCATATGCTAAATAATTAATATCAAATGAATTACCGCTAAATACAGATATTTTAAAGACAGCCTAGTAAATCATTAAATAGTCTATATAAAAAGTGGCTTTACAAAGTTAGTATATCTATAGGTTTGGTTTTTTTCCATATAATTAAAGAGCCCCTATCATAGCATTTGAAATGTTCCTATTTTTGTTTTAGGAGTTCCCAAAAATAGTTTAACATGCATGCAAGGATGAAAAACACTTTATTTGTCTTATAATATGCATATATTTTTAACTGATTTGCTCACCGTCTCCCAAATGATTCGTACAACGACTCATTTTTCCAAACCACTCCTTTGCGTGACCCTAATCGGCGGTGATTGGTCTGATGACAGACCCAGTCAGTTATTTTTTGTTAGCATAACGCATAAACATATTGATAAAGCACTGCAGTACTACAAGACGCTCTATTCTTTATCACAACTCCAATAACAGCGACAAACATTTCACATATTTAAAAAAAATTGACATTGGAGACCTAGAAGCTGTGCTGAGCGTAACTCAGATACACGCGCACACACACAGATACACGCGCACACACATACTGCCTCGCGCCCCGACGCAACAACACCGTCCAAAACCCATAAAAGCAACAATTATTAATAATACTTACAGGTTGTGATTCGAAGGAGGAAGCTGATCCATATACACTGGGTAAGTAAGTTACTGAGCCCTCCTTCAGGAACAACCTCTTGCGAATCCACATTTGAATTAATTTTTGTTTTTGAACTAACGTTATTCGTCAATAAAATAATGAGAACACAATCGGGCTATACTGTTGTGGTATCGTTGCAAATATGAACTCTAACCACCAATTCTTCACATGCTCGTCCCTGGTAAATGAAAACAAAGTGGCTGAACTATCTTTGCATTGTAGAACACAGCGTCTTCTCGACATGATGCTATGATGAAGTATTTGAATGTGTAGACTTCAAGTTTACACTTCCGTCTGCGCGCGCAGTAACTGGGCCAGTATATATCTACGTCACTACGAACCAGCTAATGACTCGTTTCAAAAACAATTCATTTCATAGACTCAGAGTCGACTCTCACTTTTGAAAGGCAATAACTTTATATACGGTGCACTTATAGATATAAATCTTTGCAGGATGTTTTCATTCCCTTAGAGCTATATTCCACACCATATGAACAGTCATTTTCAAAAATCCATGATAGGGGCTCTTTAAACAGAAGTTTACAGTCCACAGACATTCATTTTGAAATCGAGTTTGTCTTTCTAAGGTAGACACAAGAAGCATTTTCAGTGTTTTGTCAGTACTATTGTTTTACAATTGTTGGTTTTATAAGACTTGTATCAGATGGCCTCTTTGCATGTTGTGTTACATCCCTTTTTTAGTGGTTTTTCGCTGTCAAGTTCAAATTTGAAAAATGTGTCTCTAGTTCTGAAAATTCTGTTCCATTCCATTTGCGCTGCGTCTGTCTGCATCTCACAAATCAGAGCTAAAGCATAGTTATGATACTTCAAGCTTGAATTGCACTGAGTGTAGGGTAATCCATTTTTACAGAAATTAAACATGGGATTACATGGCATGATTAAATGCATAATGTTTAATGCATTATTTTATATATAATTAATTGTACTAATTTAACATTAAGTTAACAGCCTTAATTATCATTCAACATACTGTCAGCACTCATCGTTTACAGTCTGTTTGATGTGAATTGTTCTATTGTTGATTTTTTTTCTTCATCTCCGTTGAAATTATTGTCTTTGTCATATGACTGCTGTGATTACAACCTTGTTCACTGATTGTTCTGCTTCCGTTGATCTAATTATTATTTTTCTCATTTCTGCAGAGGAGTTAATGAGTCAGAGTTCATCTCAGGTGAGGGTCTCTGCTGAAGTGGAAGAGATGAGGTCTCAACTCAGTCGTCTCAAGATTCGAAACAAAGAGCTGGAGCTTCAGAACAGTGGCCGATCTAATGACCACGCCCGCATGCTGAAACAGGCAAGCCATGCCCACATGCTTTCAATGTTGCGTTCAAGTCATGTTGGAAAGATTGCATTTGTGAGTTTAATGCACATGAACAGCACCAAGTCTCATAATTGCAGATGGGGAAGCTCAGGATTTTCTTCAAGTCTGGGGGCGTGTCAACATTACTAAAACTGTTAAAAATCATTTTCAGTAATAGAAAAAAAAAAGAAAAAAAAATATATGTCTATTACTGAATATATATATATATATATATATATACATATATATATTCAGTAATAGAAATATATATATATATATATATATATTCAGTAATAGAAATATATATATTTTTTTTTTACTATTTTATATTGTATATTTTATTTACTTTTTTTACTCATTTCTATTACTAAATATATATACTGCTCAAAAAAATAAAGGGAACACTAAAATAACACATCATAGATCTGAATCAATGAAATAATCTTATTAAATACTTTTTTCTTTACATTGTTGTTTAAGTGTTTCCTTTATTTTTTTGAGCAGTGTATATATATATATATATATATATATATATTAGATGAAAAACTTTAGCAAAAAAATATAGAAATAATGCCTTGGAAACTAACTGAAATAAGATGAAGTACTAAAATGATTAAAACTGAAATAAAAATAAATTAAAGCTAATTAGAAATATAAAAAATACTAACTAAATTGTTTTATAAAAAAGATAAAAGGGTAACACTTCATACTAAATTGATGCTATGAATCATTAGTTAACCATTCGTAAATATCAGTTAGAAAGTGCAAGTAAATGATTAATAAACAAATTAAATTTACATGTAAACATCTTATTATTTAGACATAATTGTAATAGTTACTCAGTGTGTTAATAAATGCTTTTTAACGAAAACGAAAACATGTATTCCTACTGTGATTCATGATTAATTCAGGTAGTTATAAAACATCTAAAGGGAGGACTATTTGTGCCTGGTAAAGTTTTTTTTTTAAGGACATTTTTTAGGTTTCATATCCTAGGTGTAAAAAGTAATCCATACGGCTCCATGGGGTTAATAAAGGCCTTCTGAAACGAAGAGATTATACATATTTATAACTTTATAAACTATAATCACTGGCTTTCGGTAACGGCCGTATGCAAGTCTAGTTCCGGCAGAAGATTGACCTCTGACCCGACGCATGACGTATTGACGAATGTGGAAGCGCAGAGAAACACCGGTCACAAATTAGAAGTCTAAAACGAGAATTTTTAAAGAAAAATGTTGCAGCGCATCTACTCTCACCTAAGCTTACACTACTCCTACATCCTATGTCATATGTCGGGTCAGAGGTCACTTGACTCATGTACAGCCATTACCAGAAACCAGTGATCATAGTTTATAAAGTTATAAATATGGATATTTTTCTTACAAAAACATATTGATTCATTTCAGAAGGCCTTTATTAACTTCCTGGAGCCATGTAGATTACTTTTATGATGAATGGATCCGTTTTCAAAAACTCTGTTCACTCCCATTATAAAGCTTGAAGAGCTTTTTATATTTTTTATAGATATTTTTAATGTAACTCTGTGTTTGGCTGAAGAAAGTCATATACACCTTGGATGGCTAGAGGGTGATTGATTTATGGGATCAATTTCTTTTTTGGGTTAACTAACTCTTTAAGAACAATACTTAAAACAAATCAGCAAGTACAATAAATAGAATGGATAAAACCATCATAGATTTGTACAAACATTTCCATAAATAGTTCAAATTAGCAGTCCCCCTTCAATCCCCCTACCTTACACGCCTTTCCTTACAGGAAATAAAACAGAGAACCCTACCTTATATTTAAATTAAAACTTTACATAAGAACAGTATAAACACTGGAAAACTACTCCACAGGCTCTCCATCGAACACCCTTCTTTTAAAGCATTAGTTAGTATGCACAGAAACAGCCAAACCCTTAGAACATCTTAAATCATCAAAACTGACACCCCTTTTTTGTCATTCTTTTGAAACTACAGGATTACAGTTTTATATCATTAAGCTTTGTGTGTGGGTTTCAGCATGCAGATGCTCTATCCTCTATGCGTCTGGAGCTGCAGCGTGCTCACACTGAGGAGATCAGACGCCTTCAGCAGGAGGTGGAGAGTGAGAGAAAGAATGACAGACAGGAGCTGGAAGAAGAGAAGAAACAGGTTCAGCAGAAGATGGAAGAAGAGAAAGTAAGGCTTAAAGAACAGCTTCGGAAAGCACTGGAAGAAGTGATACGCAAACATGCCAGTGAGCTGCGGCATGCGCACGCGATGCTGGATGCAGAGAAGAAGAAGACACAGCAGGTACAACAACCGGTTTCAGTTTCATGACATAAATCTTGATGCATTAGCTTTGTGAATAATTCCCATTTGCTCCTGTTGCTGCTAGTGTGAAGGGCTGGCTGTCAGTTATGACTTTCTGATTTGATTTCTCTCTTGATTTGTTTCTCAATTTTATGTTGATTTTATATTGTTTGGCAATATTTAAATGGCCAATGTGTTTACATTAATTTTTCCAATAAAAAGGCGATTAAAAGATTGACTATAGGATTTGTAAGAATGTCTTTAGAAAATGTCTAACCAACATAATCTGTTTTTTTTTACTCATCTATACTATTGTGTTTACTGTTACAGGGAATTCTTGTGTTGCTGTGTATAAAGACATACATCATATTCATAATGCAAAGCTCCAAACCCAGTCCATTTAGACAACAATTGTGTAAACTAAGCTGCAAAAATGGGTCATTTCAAAATCAGAACCACATTAACATATGATGCATATTCAGTGTTCAAAAACTTGGCCCACCCTTGTGAACAGAGCTTAGCCATCATATCATAAGTTGCATAAAAACCCTGAAAGGTACAGAAACAAAAAAAAAACACTTGTAAATAACACTTCTTTTGTCATTTATTTCATCATTCTTTCATCACATCATTCCCACTTGACTTTCTTTCTTCCATGAAACAACCTATTCTGTTTCATGTAATTAAAGTGCTAAAATAAAACAATAAAAATGGCAAAAATTCATACAACTCATACAACCTGAGTTATCAGGATATAGTGCATGAAATTTAAGCTGTCTTTTGTTTTATGGAAGATTTATTCATCTCTTTATGTGTTCCGCAGAAAAAAGAAGGTTTAGAATGACATGTTCATTTTGGGAGAACTAACTCTAAGAGTTAGGGAAAGTGGAATATGGTTATGTAATATTTAATTCATTCTATATTATAATTATTTTGTTACAAGAAATTGTTTCTATAAACTTCCTAATTGTGTGCAAGTGTTTATTTAGCCGAAACAGTAGTCCATGAAAGTTGCAACACCAAGAGCATGGGTTCAACTCCCAGGGATTGCATGAACTGAGAAAAATATACTTAAATGCAATGGCAGTCATTTTGGATGAACGCTTCTAACAATTGCATAAATATAAATTACTAAAATGGTAAGTGTACTATTTGCCCAATTAAAACAGAACAAGTACCTACTAAGCAGTATTTAAAAGATCTGATGCCTGATCTAATTTATTTTTTTAATTATGAAATAATGAGATAATAGTTTTTTATTATGTTGGTTTGAGTGCAGGCTGAGGAGCAGATGCAAACCGAAGAAGAAGAGAGAAAGAGTTTAGAGGCGGAGAGGGACGAGCTAAGCAACCAACTACAGCTGTCCAAAACAGAGGTAAATTATTACAAAGATTAACCTGTTCTTATCCTCTCAAAAACCAAAACAGTCTAAGATATGTTTGCATAACATTGCTGACCTACTAATGAATCAGGTCACCACAAATAACTTGAACTATATACATTTCAAGCTCAGTCCTTCTGCTTAAATACACAGAGGCCCAGAGCACTCCACATGCCCATGATAAATGAGAAAACAAAAAGAACATTTGTAGGGCCCAAGGCAGAGGGATTCATCTAACTGAAACTGGGTTATGATAACGAAGTAGTATACTTGATAAGTGATAGCTTGGAATGAGACTGTTGTAGGGTGACCATATTTTGATTACCAAAAACCAGGACACTCAGCCCAGCAAACAGATACTCAAATGATACTCAAAGATGCCTTATTAATTTCAATACATTTAAAGTAGGATATGCCTCCTCTGTATAAATAGAAATGTATTATATTACAAGACACAAATTCAGATAGGCTTCTCAGATGTTACTCAATGTTTAATTATGACAGGTTTCAAAAATAATGAATGAAATAATGATAGAAATAATGTCTCTTCTGTATTAGAAAAATACATATATAAATAATAAAAAACTAAAAGAAATACCTCCAAATCGAACAAAAATAGCTCTCACAAACTTACAAAAACGAACTAACAAAATGTATAATCTTTAGTTTTCTTCCACTTTATCCTGTTTTTCTTCCTCATCCTCCTTGTTTGCCCATCTATATTTTGCTGTTGAGCTGATCTTTCCCAGCAGTTTTTTGAAAACCAGGACATTTTCATCACTTTTTAAAAAACAGCCAGGACAGGACGTGAAAACAGGACATGTCCTGGGAAAACAGGATTGTTGGTCACCCTAGACTGTTGTTTCAGTGCTGTGTCACAGAGAAGCAACCCTCATCAAAGTTTGTACTATATATCAGGAAACCATTTGTCAATCCTGTCAAATGTATGGATTGTAGCAGTGGTATCCTAGAGGCTAATGATCTAAGTTGGTTACTAAAAGGTTCTAGGTTCAAATCCCAGTCCTTGAACAAAACCAATGCTAGGATGCCTGACTGTTTGTTTCATACAGTTTGTTTCAATAAATCAATGTTTCATTGTGCCTTTTATGTCACCACATCTTCCCAGACATACTGTGTCATTTTACTAACTGTAAACACGGTCCTTAAGTTTGCGTTTATTAAATTTTGTAAATTTGCTTGTATACCCAAAAATTGATCTACTAAAGCTAATCTACTAACCAGTGGTGTAAATAACAATGTTAATGTGCGATACCAAACAGGTATCTATACAAGCCTTGACCTGACTGCATATAGATACAATACGGATCCATTCAGAATTATTAAGCACATCAAAATACTAAACGCATGAAAATTAAAACCATTTTAATTGTGTGGAAACTCTGTGATCTGAAGGCAACAGCATCAGTGAACAGGTCCTCTGTCTGAATAAGTGTTCTTGTCTATGCTTAGAGCATCTGATGTCCATATAAACACAACCGACTCTTGCAAACTCCTGCAAAACACACTCCTTTCATGAGTACATTATAAAGCACTTGTCCGTAGTGAAATATGCTTGTGTCTTTACCTTGATTACAAATGTCATCCATCAAAACTTAACTAGTGAGATGCTGGTTTGCTTTGGAATATATTTGAGTATACTGATTGGCTACATTTTTTGTCATATCTTGAATGTTTAAATCGGCAATTGGCTAAACTGCTTTCACAGACCTACCCAGAGTTGAACTTGAGACATGCGAACAGGCAGAGGAGACATAGGGAAAGCATCAATTTTGCACAGATGATTGTTTTTCATATCAAGTAAATATCAATTTAAAATAATAATAATAATTATTATTGTTGTTATTATTATAATTATAATAGTTATTATTGTTATTTTGTGTGTGTGGTTCAGGGAGGGTGGCACCCCATTGCCCTCTATTGGCAAGCTGTGCCGAAACTGTGCAGGTACCCTCTGGTCATGGCTGTCATAACCAAGTTTGGTCTAAATACGTTTTAGTGTTTCAGAGAAATAACCTCATATTCACTTTGGCTTGCCCATCCTAAAATTCAAACACAGGTTGACTAATCAACTAGAATTCCATGTGCTTTTGTTTGCATGGTCTGAAGATGATCTGGTTAAATTTTCATGAAAATCGGACAAACAGTATGTTCGAACACCATATCATAAGGGGTGCAATTGAATCATCAGGGGAAAAATAATTTTGTTTCTAGCTCGGACTTATGGTTCAAAAGATACATAAGTGCAAATTTGAACATTTGTAGGTGCTAGATGGATTGAGTTAGAGACTCTACCTTTATCTGAGAGTTCAGACTGTCCTCTATCTGTGTGCCAAACTTTTTATGGTTCTATGGGCTGCCATAGACTTCAATGGCACCAATGCAGATTACATAGCACCTGCGAAGCACCTGATTTATGAATCTTGAAAGCAATTTCACAAATGATAACTTTGTGAGCAAATTAACAGGACTGAAAAGCGGGTAATCTGATTCACGCTGTGCACCATGCTGACACTTTGGCAAAACTTTGAGAATGAAGAACACACAGTGTGACAGTACTGCTGAATTGCTGACATTAATGTTATGATAAATTATCCTCATGAGCAATTGTTTTATTAGAAATTAACTAACAGTTCTCATTGCTGTGATTCAAACAATTTATGTCCTCCTGTTTCAATCACTTCAACATTGCTTGTTTAACTGGCGGTTCTTTTGTTGGACCTGCAATCCACAAACCTATGGGGACAAGAATGGGACATGACCCACTAACTGAGAATCACTGCTACACACAAATGACTCAATTTTCTTGTGACATCTTAATGAGCTTATAAACATGTAGTTGGTATTTATCAACATGATCCCTAAGCTGGTCATCAGGCTTCTTCGCTGTAGCTTTTACAATAAACAGTGAAATATGTGCTTGCCCTGCATTTTCTACCACACAACAGAGATAAAGTAGAAACAGTGGCATAATAGCATTCAGACACTACTACTGCAATTCATATATTTTTTTGTTTGTAGGATTTTTTTCACTGTAATACACACTAGTTTTGTACACTACCGTTTAAACTTTCGGGGTCAATACATGTTTTATGTTTGAAAGAAGTCTCTTATTTTATTATATTATTATTTTTTTATTTTATTTTATTAGAATTTATTATTATTAGGTAAATGTTTTCAGGATCCTTTCGAGGTCAAAAGAACAGCATTTATTTGATATAATGATACATCATAACATCAATCAATCCTTTCCTTGAACTGCCACGTTAACGTGGTGGAGGAGTTTGAGTACCCGAGCGACCCTAGGAGCTATGTTGTCCGGGGATATATGCCCCTGGTAGGGTCTCCCAAGGCAAACAGTTCCTAGGCGACTGGTCAGACTAAGGTCCTAGGCGACGGGTCAGACCGTGACGTCACCCGTTATGGCGCAGCCAGGACCCCACCCTGGAGCCAGGCCCAGAGTTGGGGCTCGTATGCGAGTGCCTGGTGGCCAGGCCTCCCCCCACGGGGTCCAGCAGGGCCCAGCCCAAAGGAGCGACGTGGGGCTGCCTTCCCGTGGGCTCACCACCTACAGAAGGAACCGTAAGGGGCCCGCGCTGAGAGGATCAGGCAGCCGTCGAAGGCGGGGGCCTCGACAACCCTATCCCTGTACTCGGAAACTAGCTCTACGGACGTGGAACGTCACCCCGCTGGCGGGTAAGGAGTCTGAGATTGTGCGTGAGTTTGAGAGGTTCCACCTAGAGATAGTCGAGATCACCTCTACGCACAGCTTGGGCTCTGGAACCACATTCCTTGAGGGAGGATGGACTCTTCACCATTCTGGAGTTGCCCATGGTGAGAGGCGACGGGCTGGTGTGGGTTTGCTTATAACCCCCCAACTCAGCTGTCATGTGTTGGAGTTTACCCTGGTAAATGAGAGGGTTGTTTCCCTGCGCCTAGGGGTCGGGGGATAGGTCTCACTGTCGTGTGTGCCTACGGGCCAAACAGCAGTGCAGAGTATCCAGACTTCTTGGGGTCTCTGGGAGGAGCGCTGGAAAGTGCTTCGACTGGGGACTCCGTCGTTCTGGTGAGCGACTTCAACGCTCACATGGTCAACGACAGTGATACCTGAAGGGGCGTGATTGGGAGGAACGGCCCCCCTGACCTGAACCCAAGCAGTGTTCAGTTATTGGACTTCTGTGGTAGTTACAGTTTGTCCATAATGAACACCATGTTCAAGCATAAGGGTGTCCACCAGTGCACGTGGCACCAGGACGCCCTAGGCCACAGGTCGATGATCGACTTTGTGGTTGTTTTATCTGACCTGCGGCCGTATGTCCGCTCTCAACTGATCACCATCTGGTGGTGGTGGTGGGAAAAGAAGCTCAACAGACTCGGCAGACCCAAGCATAATGTAAGGGTCTGCTGAGAACATTTGGCCAAGTCTCTTGTTAGAGAGATCTTCAACTCCCACCTCCAGCGGAGCTTCGATCAGGTCCCTAAGGAGGCTGGAGATATTGAGTCCGAGTGGACCATGTTCTCCACCTCCATTGTCGAAGCGGCTGCTCGGAGCTGTGGCAGTAAGGTCTCCGGTCCCTGTCGAGGCGGCAATCCCCGAACCTAGTGGTGGACACCGGAAGTAAAGGATGCCGTCAAGCTGAAGAAGGAGTCCAATCGGGCCTGGTTGGCTTGTGGGACTCCTGAGGCAGCTGACAGGTAGCAGTAGTGGAGGCAAAAACTCAGGCTTGGAAGGAGTTCAGTGAGGCCATGGAGAAGAAGAAATTAAATAACTAGAGAAGAAGAGATTAATCATTGTGGAGTATAGCTTAATTGTATTAATAAATTACAATTTTGTACTTATTTCATCTCTTAACTCCAACTCGTTCTTGTTCGTTCATAACATGGCATTAGTTAAGGGTGGGGGCGGTCAGGGACCTGGATATTGGATAGGGGGCGCTGGCCCAAAAAAGGTTGAGAACCACTGTTCTGACTGAAATTGATTTTCTTTCTTCTTTTTATATCACACTTGAGTGGTTTCCACATGCTCATATGGTTCTTACGGATGTTTCCTGATCTGCGTTTTCTTGGCTTGCAGATGGCGAAATTGCAGGGGGTGATTCAAACCCTGGAGAAAGAAAGAGAAGAGGAGGAGGAAAGGGCAAAAGAGAGAGAGAAGGAGTGCGCAGAGGTGGAGCGGCAGTCAGCATATGGCCTGGAGTGTGTACGAGTGAAAGAAGAACTGGAAAACCTGCACAGGAGTATGCAGCAAATACAGGTTCTCGCTCCAGTTTGCTCAACACACACTTCCATCTGACATGAGGACAAAGTGTCAGTGATGTCCCTTTCCATTACTGCACAGCTCTATCACACATAGTCACAAGCACACACAAATCTGCAAATCCCTTATGGCAGCACTAGGTTCTGCTGATCTCAGCAGATCTGTGCCGCTCAAAGGAAAGAAAGACATCAACATTCACCCAGCAACCAATCTACTTATTTTTCTCCCTTAATCCATGGATCTTTCCTTCCATCCATGAATCTATCTATCCGTGTCGACCTTTCTTTTTATGTGTCCCACAGGAGGAGTTTGCTGCACAGAAGGAAGTGTTACAGGCAGAGATTTCTGCTCTACAGCAAGAGAGAGACATTCTACAACAGTCCAATCATGGTATAGAGGAGAGAATCAGGTGTGTCTGAATGACAATGAGACAAGATCATTTCAGTCAATTAAAATATTTCATTGGTCAATTTTTATTATGTGAAACAAACAAATTTAAAGCATATAAGCAACTGCACCTCTGCAACTACATCTCAGTGTTGTACAGCACTTTTTGTGAATCAGAGGCTGTTGTCCTCTTTGAAGTCGATCGATCAGTAAAAGTCATTTTAACAGAAGGCTAAAATTTTATATTTTGTAACATTTTGGACGGATTCACCCAACGACCTGCACGCGAAAAATCGATCGTTCGGCACGAATCGCCTAGGCTATGTGACTAATAGCTTCAAAGCTGAGAAATTCAAAAACTTTGGGGCACTATTTGCACCAACAATATTCTAAGATTAAAGTAAACTTTATAGTTACCTAAACTATGTGCGGATTATCGGATATCAATTAAACACCTCAACAGGATTACACAATCTACGTGTTCTAATCACACCGGTGTGATTTATATTTAGGGGTTCAAGCACGAAGTGCTGAAACCCTATTGTAATTGTATTGATTAGGGGTTCAAGCACGAAGTGCTGAAACCCTATTGTTTTTGTACTGATTTTTAGGGGTTCAAGCACGAAGTGCTGAAACCCTATTGTTTTTGTACTGATTTTTATTAGGTGTTCAAGCACGAAGTGCTGAAAACCTATTGTAATTGTACCGATTTTTATTATTATTATTATTATTTTTCTTCTGCCGTAAAACGCATCGTGCAGACCAAACCGTAAGGGCCAGAGCTCTGAAACTTTGTCAGATGGTAGTACAAAAATCGAGGAGAGGTTATCAAATTATGAGCCCGATTGGCCCATAGGTGGCGCTATAGCGACCAATTGCGCGAAGCTGCTCATAACTCCTAAACCGTAAGTCGTACACTCAAGTGTCTTATATCATTGGAAAGCTGGTCACCTGACGAACAAAACGTATATCTCCGATTTCATTTCCGGTATGGAAATTTTTCGGCTATTTTGAATTTTGTCGAAAAACTACTTTTGCGAACTAGTCCCTGGTTTTTTGCCCGATCGGAACCAAACCAGTGCAGAAATGTTCTCTGGAGTCTGATTATCAATAATCATTGAAAAAAAGTGGAAATTTCTATTTCCGGTCGCTAGGAGGCGCAAAATAAACGTTGTGGGAGGAGCCTATTTTACTAAAATGGCTATAACTAAAGAAGTAAATGAGATATCTTCACCAAACTCGGTACACATGTGTATGAGTTCAATTTGAGGTCACAGTAAAAAAATAACGACGATTGAACACTAGGTGGCGCTATAAAACGGAAAAAACAGATAACCACCTAACCGTCAGTCCGATTGACTTGAAAATTGGTATGCAGTGTCTTGGTCCAAGGCCCCATGTACGTTTATGAGGACATTGGTGTATCTCAAAAAACATGGCCGCCATCAGCCAATGAAGTTTGAGCACCCATGAAACAAGGTTAACGAAGGCCGATCGGAACGAAACTCGTTGGGAATGTTCGACTCATGGCCCTAGAGGTCTGTAAGAATTTTGAAAGAAATTGGCCACTAGTTGGCGCTAACGAGTTTTATGGCTCTGTAATCACGTGGTTTGCACACACCCTCACAATATGTATATCAATTGATAGATCTCCTCATGCTGAACAACTTTGCTTCTAGAACCATTGCTGTCAATCAAATCGTTCGTTAAATATTCACGAATATGTCAAAAACCTACTTTTGCAAACTAGTCCCTGGTTTTTTGCTCGATCGGAACCAGACCAGTCTAGGACAATTCTCTGGACTCTCTAGATCAATAACTATCAAAAAGAAGTGGAACTTTGACATTTGTTTTGCTATAACAGGGTCATTTACAAAAGTAGGCGTGACAAAATGCACCCAAAGCCTATAAATCCTAAAGGAAAACTCAGAACATCCCAAAAATTGATGAGCATATGTGTCATCACATCATTAACAAGCATGCAAAGTTTCATGGAGATCGGACCATAGGTGGCGCTATAACTGTTAAAAAGCTTTAAAACCATGTATTTCCATATGGTGAATTGCCAGTATTGGCTGTAAATGGTGTTTTCCATCTCTGATCATATCATAATGTTAAAACCAGTGCATTACAATTCTCTGGACTCTCTAGATCAATAATTATAAGAAAAAGTTGAACTGCTTCTTGTGGATGGCTTCAACATGTACTGTGTTGAAGCCATCTACTACTACACTTTCAGTGTCCCTGAAAGCGTTGATCTCTTCAATAAACAAGTCAGAACACGTGACATTAAATAATCATGAACATTTTCAGACAGATCGGACAAAATATGCCTGTAGAACAGTTAAAAAGGTGAAAATGATGGTCTGTTAAGCCAATAAGTGGAGTTTTACTGCCCCCTGCTGTTCAAAATAGTAAGTTGTCATGTATAATTTATATTATGACTTTATCAATTCACTAATTTAACATTTACAATCACATTTAGTCAAAAAGTACTATGACAACTGTCATATTGAATTAAAATCTACACACACTCATTCAGTTGTAGATAAATGATAAGAGTAACTACCACTGTTGTCACTGTTTTTAACATAGTTTTATAACATTAGATTACAAAGAAATATCCCAAAGGTGTGTGTGTGTACATCTCTGATCATATCATAATGTTAAAACCAGTGCAGTACAATTCTCTGGACTCTCTAGATCAATAATTATAAGAAAAAGTTGAACTACTTCATGTGGATGGCTATAATCGATGGCTTCAACATGTAGCCTTAAAATGAATGCTCAGATCACAAGACTTGTTAAAAACAAGTCAGAACACATGCCATTAAATAATCATTAACATTTTCAGACAGATTGGACAAAATATGCCTATATAACAGTTAAAAAGGTGAAAATGAAATCAACATGATGGTCTATTAAGAAAATAAGTAGTGTTTTAATGCCCTCTGCTGTTCAAAATAGTCATTTTTACACTACTCAACTATAATTCATATTATTACTTTATCAATTCACTATCATATTTTGTCAGAGTTTATCACTTCAGTTGTTCTGAGTTTTCACCTAATTGCTATTAACGTGGTAAATAGCTGTACTATATTACCAGAATCACATTGAAATCCATGTTGAATCTTCTAAACGCAGCACACAAAGATATGCATTTCAACTTTCAACTCCCAGCTCAATTACTCAGCAACACCAGGATGGGTGTTCAAGAGGGCTCATTGAACACTAAGGTCTGAGTTTCAGATTTTTTCACTTTATCATTCCCGAGACATAAGTTAAAAAAAACAAATTTCCCGTCATTCATTTCAACAGTTTATGTAGGTTGTAAAACCAATGTTGTCCACTAGAGAGAGCAACAGCATTGGTTATTTTTAATCTTTTTTAACCAGTTTCCAGCACTGGCTAACAAACAAATGCTCAAATCTATTTATTATGTTGGAAATAATATTTATAATAATTAATATTATGTTAACCCTTTATGACCTGCCATAGAACAATTTCACTAGAGTATATCTTTGCATTTTTACATGCTGTGCTGTCATTCTTTTGAGCATTTTCAAATGCCACACATCAAAATTATCCTTACTCTCCCAATTTGAAGGCTATGTTTGTAAAAAAAAAATCAATAGAAAGAAGATAAATATCTCAAAAGTGCAATAAACAAAAAGAAAAACAATTAACAAAAAATCTACATAATTTTATTCAATACAAAAAATTATAAATGTCAACCTTAAACTTGTCAATGTGAAAAACTTGCATTAAACAATTTAAAACTATACAGAATACATCAATTAGTTTTGAATATACACTCATTCAAAAAAGGGGGTAAAAATGCCATGTAAAATATTCAAGTACATTGAATGACGATTGAACACTAGGTGGCGCTATAACATGAAAAAAACATACTGTGTACACACAGTAAAACATACGTCAACACATGTACTGTGTTGAAGCCATCTATTACTACACTCCCAGTGTCCCTGAAAGCATTGATCTCTTCAATAAACAAGTCAGAACACGTGACATTAAATAATCATGAACATTTTCAGACAGATCGGACAAAATATGCCTATATAACAGTTAAAAAGGTGAAAATGATATTAATATGATGGTCTATTAAGCCAATAAGTGGTGTTTTACTGCCCTCTGCTGTTCAAAATAGTCATTGTCACACTACTCAACTATAATTCATACTATGACTTTATTAATTCACTAATTTAACATTTGCAATCACATTTAGTCAAATATTAATATGACAACTCACATTAGGTCCTGAATATAAAAAATGTGTAATCTACACACTCTCATTCTGTTGTAGATAAATGATATTAATAATATGACATATTGTATATGAAGGCTGTAATTCCACTGTTGTCACTGGTTTTAATATAGTTTTATATCATAAGATTACAAATAAATATGTGAATGAATATGCTTATAGTTCAAATAACAAATAAACTATCCCAAACGTGTGTGTGTGTGTGTGTGTGTGTAAGCATGAAGCATGAATCATCTATTGAAGTAACAATTGAGTCACTTTGGATCCTTTTCAAAATGTCTAAAGTATGAGTTTGTGTAGATGATAATAGCACTGTTGTCCACTAGATGGAGCAGCAGCATTAGACTTTTTTAAACTTTTTATTATTCTGCCGTAAAACACATCGTGCAGACCAAACCGTAAGTGCTGGAGCTCTGAAACTTTGTCAGATGGTAGTACAAAAATCAAGGAGAGGTTATCAGATTATGAGCCCGATTTGGCCCATAGGTGGCGCTATAACAACCAATTGCGCGAAACGGTTCATAACTCCTAAACCGTAAGTCGTACACTCAAGTGTCTTATATCATTGGAAAGCTGGTCACCTGACGAAAAAAACGTATATCTCCGATTTCATTTCCGCCTGGATAGATTTTTCGCCATTTTGAATTTTGTCGAAAAACTACTTTTGCGAACTAGTCCCTGGTTTTTTACCCGATCGGAACCAAACCAGTGCAGAAATGTTCTCTGGAGTCTGAAGATCAATAATTATTGAAAAAAAGTAGAAATTTC